TCCATCGCTAATCAGCAGAAGACATAAACAGTTTGGATGCTATGAAATTGATAATCTAGTCTTCTTCTCCAAATTAGGGAGAACCAAATTCTAGGCTTTGTCAAAAAATTGACTTGGCTAAAATAATGTCTCTTCCGCTTCCCCTTTCTCACTATTTCTCTCTCTCTACTCTTCCACTATTTTTTCTTCTTCTCTTTATAGGTATACCTATACATAAAGGATGATCACAATGGACATAGTTTCCGAGTGGACGGCTGTTATAACAGCAGAACATCCCTAACCTAACCTAAAGCAGACTAATTCTGTAATACCATGATCCAATAAACTGGTCGTGTCAGAAGCAATCGTTATCGACAATTTTGGAGTAAAATCCCCCATATTGTCAAATATTTTGTTTACGTTTTCACACAATTTAGTTAAAATCGAAAGCATTTTGACAGCTCGGGTGAAATCATCTGGCCTTATCGGACGACCTTATTATTGGATCATGTGTCATACAACAACATGCGAGAAGTTAGTGACATCGCTAACTTTTAATAATCGAAATCACAGGGTGACACAGAACAGTAAAATTCCACATTTAGTAATATTGGTCTGTTCCCGTACTGCAAGAATCTACTACTTTTTACTACGATAACAAATTTTCCTTTATGATATCGAAAAAAATTGTAAAATCGAATAGATTCTTGCAATACGCAAACAGACCAATTTTATCAAATGTGCTGGCAAACAAATCTAGCCAAAAACATTAGTTACAGAACCTACAAATTTAACAAGGTTTGCAATTTTTTACTAGAAAGCCGTTCTCAGGAACTTGTAAAAATTTCCGCCAAAGTTAAGAGAACATAAAACAAAATGGCTTTCCCTTTGCAGACTCGTGGTCTGTTCCAGCATTTTTTTAATAGTAATCTAGTAAAAGAGGAAACATTTCAAAATTGCTCTCAGAGTACAAAATAATTTAAAAAGTTCGGGAACGCAAATCTAGTAAATATGCCAAAATTAGATGGCAATACTTCAAAATCAACATAACAGCCAATGATAAGTAGGCATTCCTGTTTACCATTTTTATTCGACCAAATTTCTCGAGTAAAAAGTTTACAAAGAGAACGCCATTTTGTTTTGTGCTCTCTTAAATTTGAGTCAATGTTTTACCAGTTTTGTGGGTTGAGGAACGGTTTTCGAGTAAAAAGTTGCAAAACATGTAAAATGAGTAGAATCTTTTAGGTTCTGGAACGGAACTTCGTTCTTGGTATTGGAAAGAATTCTTATCAAGGTGTATTTAATAAGGTTAAGTGACAATCATATGGTTTCAAACTTTTTTCTTTATTGTTTGTAAAGTAAATTGTCAAAACATTTTCAATATTACATTTCGATTTCAAAAATGGTCTTTAAATTTAGGCTTTTTTAGTACTAAAAATTCAAGAAAACTGCATTCATAGAGGGGAACGAAAAGGAAACTTAGGCTCAGTTATAACCCCGTTCACCGATTGGTTCACATATTTTATGTTATGTGTGGAAATCTGTCCAGAAATCCCTGCTACTCATAAAATCGAGGAGATTATGTTAGCCTATATTGGAATTTATGTCCTTCAATTTTCTTTAAGAAGGCAAGATTTGAAGCCACTCCATAGAAAAAATAGATTGTAATCCACAATATAAACAACATCACAAGGAGCCATGGGCTAATTGTGGGAAACTTAAAATTAATCGCGACCAGGTCTTAAACTCTATTTTTCACTGACCTAAAACCGCCAATAAACCAAGAATACACAAATTCATTAATTAGTCCTCAAGGAATAGTTCTTCTCAAATATAGATTAATAATTGTTTTTGTTTATTTTTGTCAAAAACTTATTGTCAGAATGACAATTTAATTTCTATAACAACAATGTTGTTTTTGTAAAATATTTGTTGTTGTATCTGATGCATACACCTTGATTCTTATCATATTTTCAAGCCCATATTTGGTCTGTTCCAGTACTTTTTTAGTAAAATCTAAAAAAGTAAAAGGGAAACATTTCAAAATTGTTCTCAGAGTACTAAATAATTTGAAAAGTTCGGGAACGCAAATCTAGTAAATATGCAAAAATTAGATGGCAATACTTCAAAATCAATATAACAGACAATCAGAAGTAGGCATTCCTGTTTACCATTTTTACTCGGCCAAATTTCTCGAGTAAACAGTTTACAAAGAGATCGCCATTTTGTTTTGTGCTCTCTTAAATTTGATTCAATGTTTTACCAGTTTTGTGGGTTCAGGAACGGGTTTCGAGTAAAAAGTTGCAAAACTTGTAAAATGAAAAATACTTGAATAAAATTGTAAAAATATGTCAAATAAACAAATCAACCTGTTGAATATGTTTATATGTAAATATGACACTATAAGACATTACACTAGCCTCTGTTAATTTCGTCATTTAATCCTACCTCTTGTTATTATACCACTTTCTTTTCGAAATCGAAATCAAAATCATACATTTCTTATTACCAATGTTGTGAAAATCGTCTTTACACAAATGAATTTTGGTAAAGCAAAGAAAATCTGGAAGCATAATTGTATGTTGGCTATGCCTAAATGTGGACCAATATAGTTCATTTTTAAATACGACCTTTCTGTTCTGTATCTTGATAACCTCCGAAGGTATAACAACATATGTACATACGGAAATGGCTCAATCGTCATAAAATGCCATACTTTTTAGAATAGATATTAAAAATTTCGTGTTCCAGCTCCCCATCTCAATTCCCTCCGTAAATAGCGTGATTACAACACACGGATGGAAGCATATCGCTAAAACGAATTAGAATTTTGCCCTGATGAAGAATATATACACATTTTAGGGTCGAAAATATATATTTCGATGAGTTAATATATATTTCGATGAGATTAATATACTACCGATATTATGGTGGAGGGCATAAAAACTGAAGTTTGTTGCCAATACATTTACATAATTAATGTTATGAATGGGGGTGCTTTTTATTCAAAAGATTTTAGACATATATTTGTTCTAAAACAGTTTGTTGCAATCGATTGTTGATGAGACTACTTATAAAATCTAGCTTGGGCCATAATATGAGCTATATATACATACCTAGTTCATGCGCTCCTTGGAATGAATTTTCCAATTGCACTAGTCTGTGCCGAGACTAGAGAACTATTCAGGTTAACTATATCGTTAGCTAAAATGCAAAAAGGCGTAACTAACAAAAGCATAATTGTGTAGGAGAAGCAGTACTTTTTTAGTAAAATCTAAAAAAGTAAAAGGGAAACATTTCAAAATTGTTCTCAGAGTACTAAATAATTTGAAAAGTTCGGGAACGCAAATCTAGTAAATATGCAAATTAGATGGCAATACTTCAAAATCAATATAACAGACAATCAGAAGTAGGCATTCCTGTTTACCATTTTTACTCGGCCAAATTTCTCGAGTAAACAGTTTACAAAGAGATCGCCATTTTGTTTTGTGCTCTCTTAAATTTGATTCAATGTTTTACCAGTTTTGTGGGTTCAGGAACGGGTTTCGAGTAAAAAGTTGCAAAACTTGTAAAATGAAAAATACTTGAATAAAATTGTAAAAATATGTCAAATAAACAAATCAACCTGTTGAATATGTTTATATGTAAATATGACACTATAAGACATTACACTAGCCTCTGTTAATTTCGTCATTTAATCCTACCTCTTGTTATTATACCACTTTCTTTTCGAAATCAAAATCATACATTTCTTATTACCAATGTTGTGAAAATCGTCTTTACACAAATGAATTTTGGTAAAGCAAAGAAAATCTGGAAGCATAATTGTATGTTGGCTATGCCTAAATGTGGACCAATATAGTTCATTTTTAAATACGACCTTTCTGTTCTGTATCTTGATAACCTCCGAAGGTATAACAACATATGTACATACGGAAATGGCTCAATCGTCATAAAATGCCATACTTTTTAAAATAGATATTAAAAATTTCGTGTTCCAGCTCCCCATCTCAATTCCCTAAATAAATAGCGTGATTACAACACACGGATGGAAGCATATCGCTAAAACGAATTAGAATTTTGCCCTGATGAAGAATATATACACATTTTAGGGTCGAAAATATATATTTCGATGAGATTAATATACTACCGATATTATGGTGGAGGGCATAAAAACTGAAGTTTGTTGCCAATACATTTACATAATTAATGTTATGAGTGGGGGTGCTTTTTATTCAAAAGATTTTAGACATATATTTGTTCTAAAACAGTTTGTTGCAATCGATTGTTGATGAGACTACTTATAAAATCTAGCTTGGGCCATAATATGAGCTATATATACATACCTAGTTCATGCGCTCCTTGGAATGAATTTTCCAATTGCACTAGTCTGTGCCGAGACTAGAGAACTATTCAGGTTAACTATATCGTTAGCTAAAATGCAAAAAGGCGTAACTAACAAAAGCATAATTGTGTAGGAGAAGCAAAAAACAGTTTTAAATGAAAACTATAAACATGTCATGTGAAATGAAAAAGTATGCCCGGCAGGGTGATATTGCATATGACGAATAATAGACTATAATTTTTTAACAAATTTAGTTATTTAGTTTAATGGCAGTCATAACAATTAAGTAAAAACGTGAATGTTTTGTTAGTTACGCCTTTTTGCATTTATCAAATAAACCCACTTGTAGTTATGTCTTTTTGTTTTTTGTCAATAGAAGCTCCTTTTTTGACCGCAGACGTGTAAAACTTTGTCAACACATGTAGTTTATTGGCATTCACAATATTCATTCAAAAAGTCAATTTTCAATTTTTTGTTAGTTACGCCTTTTTGCATTTTAGCTGACGATATGCAAGTTCCAGAACTTGCAAGAATGTACAATTTTTTTACTACGATAACAATTTAATAGTCAAAATTAGTCGATTCTTGCAGTACAGGAACATATCCTATTATTATTTATATTTTAGCTATGCGAAACATTTTAGACGATCACTTGTATAGTCTACATTTGCTAACTTTATTTATTGTTGCATAGTGTTAAAATGGTTTCATGGAATTTATCGATCATATCTTGATTATCTTTATATCCAACTATCTCCTTTGCGGATTCTTTATTCAACCATTTTAGCTCAGTATGTTCCTCCGAAAGAACAGGTTCTTTCGACACATCTTTCAGTTCTGCTAGCCAATAAATTACTGTTTTTGGCTTCCCTCTCACTTCATAATTTAAGGTAATTGGATTATCCTTGTAGATAATAAGGTCGTCCTCAGAATACCTAAAATCATTTAAATGTATTTTTCAATTAACAAACTCGTTTGTTAGACATACCCGGCTTCTTCTTTAGTTTCTCTGACAGCGGTAGTGTAGTCATCTTCGCCTGGATCTACATGTCCCTTTGGAGAACTCCAGTGGAAATCGCCATATGATGCTTTTAGTAGTAGGTATTCGATTTCATCACGTAATCTACGAAAGATTACGAATCCGGCAGCCCTTTTAGCCATTTTCTATTGTGCTGCTGTTTAATTCAATTACTCCGGTATTTACCTTATCACAGCCACAACTAGTGTTGACATTCAAAATAATCATGCCTCAACACTGACACAGCATGTGATTGAAAACATAAAATGTACTAATTTAAGATAACAATTGAAAACGTTCATATAATATGTTATTTTGTTAAAATGTTGAAAAAAATAAAGTTGATATGCTTATATAAAACATCGAAAAGTCATCAAAAGCTGTATTGGTTCTTCGGTTCCCATTCGTTGAAATTGAATGAAAAGTGTAGTTCACCCTCAATTAACCACTAACCATTAGACCACACTTTTTGATATTTCTGGATAGACCATATTGGTAAGAAATAAACCGCAATAAGCAATTCCCATCACTACTAAAAGTAAATTCCAAACAGCTGATTTTGTTTACATACATACAATGGTGCTCCTATAGTTATATTCACTGCAAACTGACAACATTAGTTGATAAGAAAGGGACCGGACGCTGGGTATTATGATAAGCCAAACCCAAAAGTCGGTGAAATAAATGATTAATATAATAAAAAAAAATCGAAAGCTCGAATTGAAATAAAAATATACATGATGTAGCTTTTCAGTAACAAAGTGAAAGAGAAAATACAAAGGAGTTATTCGATTATAATACATATAGCGTACAAGGAAAATGTTCCTCCACTTGAATGTCAGTAAATGGAGAAGGCTTTTAATTATTCTGATTATAATAGCCTTTCTGTTGGCGGCATGTCAAATCCTGCAGGGTGAAAATGGAAAGTCCCACTGGGAGTTAAACAAGTCTTCAACTGAAGTTCCATTGATTGTATGGTGGACACCATTAGTGGATGGTGGTTATGAATCAAGGCGGGTTTGTGACCTTAGTAATTTCTGCAGATTTACTACAAAGAGGGACAAGTTGGAAGATGCCAGTGTAAGTATATTTAATGTGAAACCTAAAATTGAGTGTATTTGAAAGAAGTTACATATACATACATGCCTTATGTCCTAGGCCATTTTATTCTACGGATCAAATGTCAAAATCGATGATTTTCCATTGCCTCGCCACCCCCATCATATATGGGCTTTAATCCATGAAGAGTCTCCACGAAATGTACCATTTATGCCATATAATGATTGGCTACAGCATTTTAACTTCACATCAACCTTCAGTCGAAATAGTAACATGCCATTGACCACGTATTATTTGACTGATGTGGAAAACTTGACTAGTCCCACATACACGATCCCTATAGGAGAAAAATCACGACATAAAGAAAACGCTTTAGTATTATTTATTCAATCAGATTGCGATACCATGTCTGGACGTGATGACTACGTGAAGGAATTAATGAATTACATTAAAGTCGACTCACTTGGAAACTGCCTCAAGAATCGGAATTTGCCGGAAAGGTATATAATGGATTGAACATTTTAACGTTGTAATATATGATGTAACAATTTCTAAAAGCTTACAGAAAATACAGGGAGACTATTTAAACAATTTGTATGCTCCAGAGTTATTAAAATTCATGGCTCGTTATAAATTTGTAATATCGTACGAAAATGGAGTTTGCGATGACTATATAACAGAAAAGTTTTGGAGACCTCTTATTGCTGGATCTATACCCATTTATTACGGATCACCTTCTATAAAGGTATTTAGTTTAACGTATATTACTTTTAGAGTATAAACAAAGCATATATACATTTCAGGATTGGTCTCCGAACGAAAATTCATTTATTGATGTGAGAGATTTCAAAAGTCCTGAATCGTTGGCTATATATCTCAAAGAATTAGATGCAAATGACAGAGCTTACAATTCGTATTTAAATCATAAATACAATATGCTGCAGCCTATTACAAACAAGCGTCTTCTACATGACCTAAAAACCCGCAAAACGGCAATGCATAACGGAGATTTGTTTCAAAGTTTTGAATGTGCTGTTTGTTCTTACGTTTACAATCTAAAGAATAAGAAGGAAAATCGAATGGCATCTGAAAGGCATTACCAATGTGCTCACGAACCAGTCTACCCGTCAATGTATGCGAAGGTATCAAACTATGATGATTGGTACTCCATTATGAATATTGGCAAATGTAAAGCACATATATTGGATACACTATTTAAGCGAAATAAAAATTTTACGAGCGCAGAATTTAGGAAAATATTAAATAAAAAAGTCTCGATTGGCGAATGTTAATAATGACCATCAGCGTAAATTCTACATTGTGTTCCCAAATTGATCTCCAACTACGCAAACATATCTTATTGCAATGTTGAATTCGAATCATGAATAAAACTTCATTAAAATATATACTGAATTTTATTTTGTACTAATATCCTTTGTTGATAATTTTTAAGTTGTATGTATAATAAAACTACATATAATAGTAATATTACTCTCATATTTTTGACTACGAAAAGGATCTTCTATTAGTCGAAATTGTTTTCGATTTTAAAATAGCGTCAAATGTACAATAAACAATATTAGATATAAAAAATATTACAATATGAAACATTGAGTTTTTAAATTTCGTTGATTCTTAACTAATTTTATATGTCTATAAGTAAATCAAATGTACGATTCTACATAAACTAAATATGGTGTTCCCGTCCTCTAAAAGTAGTAATGCTTTTCAAATGTATAAAGGGAAAATCGAAAACAATTTCTATTAGTTCAAGATTTTTGCAGGTTCATGAATAAAACGATAAATATTTATAATATTTTATATTTATTTTACATACATACATTTTTCTGTAAAATATGAAAAACATGATGTCATCTATTTTCATTTCCCAAATGTGGTCGCCTTAATAATAGGTATGTTCGATAACTCAAAATTATGACAAGTTGTACAAATAGCAACTGGATGTTGTTCGATATCTTAAAAGTTCAGTAAATGAGTGCAAGTTGAGTGAGATATTTTGGCAGTTGTGTACTAAGAATTTGAAAATTCTTATTGGTAAAATTTAAAAATTTCTAGGATAATATTTACTTGAAAATCTCCTTTAAACTCTTGAAATACTCCAAATGTTCTGTAAAAAGACGATACATATCGTCAGCTAAAATGCAAAAAGGCGTAACTAACAAAAAATTGAAAATTGACTTTTTGAATGAATATTGTGAATGCCAATAAACTACATCTGTTGACAAAGTTTTACACGTCTGCGGTCAAAAATGAAGCTTCTATTGACAAAAAAACAAAAAGACGTAACTACAAGTGGTTTTATTTGATAAATGCAAAAAGGCGTAACTAACAAAAAATTCACGTTTTTACTTAATTGTTATGACCGCCATTAAACTAAATAACTAAATTTGTTAAAAAATTATAGTCTATTATTCGTCATATGCAATATCACCCTGCCGGGCATACTTTTTCATTTCACATGACATGTTTATAGTTTTCATTCAAAACTGTTTTTTGCTTCTCCTACACAATTATGCTTTTGTTAGTTACGCCTTTTTGCATTTTAGCTAACGATATAAATTAATACTGAATTGAATATTGACAAAATATTAATATTTTCGTTTTTACGTCGAACATAATTTTGTATGTATGTATAGGTTTCAAAATATGATTTGACAAAAAACTTTATACTCACCTGTGCTTACTGGGCCTTATAGTACGTTTACATTTAACCGGATTTCGTTAACCCAGTGGGTTTCAATTGTCAATTCCTTTGCATATATGTCAAATAAATCTTCATAAAGTGGGTTAACCCGGTAAAAAGTTCTAATGTATATGCCGTTTTATATAGGCCTTGTTTATGTGGAATATGAATTTATAAAAATTATCTAAATGTTGGCTAAATAGTCCAGTATTTTTTAGCTGAAAAACACAGGGTGGTGTAAGTATTACATGACAGTGTCTTTTGTATAGCAAAACTAAATATGTTCATATCTTTTAAAGTTGTGTTGTTTAAGTATCATTAAAATTATATTCAGTAAATTCTCAGCGTAGATCTATCAAACTAGCTTTCGCTCCCTTTTACTGAGATTTTATAGTAAACAGACAACATCCAACAATAGGTGTCCAGTAACATTTACTCAGTAAATTCTAGTTCAGAGAGAAAACCGTTTTTACTCTCTTTTGCGATAATACTGAGAAAAGTAAACAGACAACATTTAGTAAGATTCAGTAAATAAACAGCTGATTCAAGAAAACATTTGTATTTGCGCCAAAATGAATAAACTAACAATGGACGGACTCAATTATTTGTATTGCATTTAATATTAAAAATAATCTGAACAATCAAAGAAAAATTGATTTGGTATGTTCCCAGGGAACATTTAAGCTTCCTGCATCAATACATTACCCTCTTTCTGGAACCGCCCTAAAAATACAAAGAATTAGTTCCTAATTTAATGGAACTTTGCATTACATACGAATTTTCTTCCATTTTCTGTAATTTTTATACAACATAATTTCAAATTGAACTTTGTAAATTAAAAATGTTTCTATTAACTTTTGTGTTTGGTCACAGCTGATCCAAAAATTGCTGAGTTACAATACACGAGTTGTCAAAAGACCTGACATTCCATTTTTCGTGTTTTTGGTAAAATGTTAAAAATATGTCAAATAAACAGAATGACTTGTTCATTTGTTTTCATTTATTCTGACATTAGCTCTGTCTGTTTACTCGATATTTGGTAACAATTGTTACCAAATGTTACTAAATGTTCTCTGTTTACCCAAAAATCCAGTAAAAGAGAGTCAAGTGAGAGAGCAAGTTTGACAGTTGAACAACAACAAACTTACTGGAGTTTACTGAAAGAATTTTATGCAGTAAGATTTTGCAAACTCAGCCAATTTCGGATCAAGTGTTTTATGACCAAACACAAAAATTATGCAAAACATTTTTTAATTTGCAAAATCCAATTTCAAGTTAAGTTCTATAAAAATTACAGAAAATGAAAGAAAATTTGTAAGTAATGCAAAGTTTCATTAAATTAGAAAGTAATTCCTTATATATATTTAGGCAAGTTCCAGATAGATGGCAATGTATTGATGCAGAAATCTTAAATATTCCCGGGAACATACCAAATCAAATAAAATGTTTTCTTGAATCAGCTGTTTATTTGCTAAATCTTACTAAATGTTGTCTGTTTACTTTTTTCACTATTATCGCAAAAGAGAGTAAAAACGGCTTACTCTCTGAACTAGAACTTACTGAATAAATGTTACTGGAAAAGTAACCAGACACACCTATTATTGTCCATAAGGTAGAGGTGTATTTTATCCTTCTGCAAAAGCCACCCTTCCTTGTATAATTGTACCATGGGTTAACCTATGTTCATCTTATATAATTATGCGATAGTGGTAAACAAATCTTAAACGTCATGCACATTGGAACTTTTTCTGGGTTAACCTTCTGTATGAGGATTCATTTGACATATATGCAATGGATTTTTCAATTTAAATTAACTGGGTTCACAACGTAAATATACTATTAGCAAAATATATGCATTTTATTCCCATATATATGCCACTAAAATGTTTTTTTTCGATCTTCTAAGAATCGAAATTATTTTCAATTTTTTCGTTATAAATTTGAAAATCTGATGAATTTTAATTCGAGAACAGAGCTTTTTATGTGAACATAATTTTACACAGCAAATATAACTTTCGTCACACTGTAAACATTGTGTTATGTATTTATAATGTAAACAAAATCATATGTTTTTACCATATGGTCTGCTACACATGTTTTTCATATTGTCATATTGTTTAGTTAATAGGCGAATAGCATGCAGTGAAGTTTATTATATAAAACTAAAATTTGAAAAAGTTAAATAAAATGTTTACCAAATGTCTGAAGACGGTGATAAAATGGAGACCATTGAGTCAGTACTATTTTCCTTTAAATGATACGAGCCGAACATATGCAGCATTTAGCGCAAAGGACTTGCTCTATGAGACATCCGATGAAGCCGGAACACTTCTAACGAAATTTGCAAAGCATGTTGCAATAGAAAGACACAATATAAGTGAACTTGTCCCAAACAAAGTTCGTTACGCGGACTTTTTTCCAGTTAGCGACCTGAAGTACTTCCACAGGGAACTGGCAAATACTCCAGCAGATCAATTGGCGTCCGTAATTGTGTACGCATCATCATATCGCTCAAATGCTGATCCCTCAAAATTTGCTCTTGTGTTAAACGAGCTTGACCGATATGCCGTGGAGAAATTATACGACATGAATGTGGATACAATACTGAGGACATTATACTCGTTTCTGTTTTTAATTCCGAACTGGATGACTAGATTGGATTTCTATTCCGAAGCCATGAAGAAGTTATATGATTTGTTATTGCAGGATGGTTGTAAATTTAAAGAATTGTTTGTTCAAGTTAGCTTCTACTTTGGCCTGTCGAAAAAGAATTCAAAAAATAACCTACAGAAGCAGTGGAAAACATTTCTCGATCTACACTTGGACACATTTTTAGATGACTTTAGTGCTCTGGATTTGGCTTTGGTAGCTAGCGCTGCGTATAAAACGTCGACGAAAATAGAAAGTGAAAAGTTTAACCAACGTCTTCTCAAAGAGATTCTAGGTACTTGTACTGTAGAGGGTGGCAATGATGCTCTCTTAATTACTTTAATAAAATCCCTGCGTTTTCAAAGGATAAACTCAAGCAAGGTGTGCGAACATCTTTCCCAGTTCTGTACAAATTCTCAAAAACTAAGCCAGTTTCAAACTCGTGGTCAAATACATATTTTTGCTCTGTTAGCCGACAACCTTTGGGACAACCAGAATTGTTTGCAAGCCTTAGTTATGGAGTTCATAGCTAAATTGCAAGAAATACGTAATGATGATTACGTTAACCGTATAAGAGGAAAAGATATAGCTACTTTTCTTTGGTGTTGCTTCCAGTTAAAATGCCACATGAGTCCGGATCAACTTCACATAATTGAAGATGTGCTTCTGCAGAAGGTGTATAATAATGAATTCAAATATTTCCCGGATCAACTCGTTGAATCATGTCTATCATTATGGAGTTTAGGATTAAAATCTAAAGAGCTTTTGCACAATGCGATTAAAATTAAGGCCGAGTCGTCACCCAAACGACAACAACCTAAAGTAGACAGTCGTCTTACCGTTTTGTTATCGGCAGCGCAAATTGAAGAACCCTCGTGGTGTACACATTTAACCCAAGGTTTTAGATCATTTAACCTTGAAGCGCGAGTTCCAGATTATCTATTAAATTCCAATATTCCATACAGAAAAATAATTTCCCAATTGATGGAAGGAAGCTCAGTGGCGTCTGCCACAATTGTTTGTCCCATTAATGGTATTAATATTCCTGGCATACTAGTTAAGATTTCTTCGCCTTCAAAAGATGCTTATGTATTTGTCGAAATTACGTCCAAATCTCAGATGCTACGATTTAGTCAGCAACCTGTTGGGATACTAAGACTTAAAGTTCAACTTCTTCAGGCTATGGGATATAATGTTAAAGTCGTAAGTATCTCTGTATTTTAATTTTCCTTGTTATTATTTTTGATAAATATATATCTCTATTTTAGTTGTCCACTGAAGATTTGGCGGGACCATTGAATTTTGCTGAAGTTTTACAAATAGAAAATCACGAAGAACCTAACAAAAATAGTATTAAGGCATAATCGTTAATAAACAAGTAGTATTGTACCTGATATAACATGTGTCGAATATTAAATCATATACCAACTTTCAGCTTTTTATCTAAAATTCACATTCGTATTATAAATCAAGATTTAGTAATAGAAATATTTTCATTCTCTATAGTGTTATTATTTAAGCAGTGAGCAAAGCAGGATCGAAAGAACCGATCTTAAATCCTGTTTAAAAACTACACTCGTATTGCTGTTAAGTGGTAGGAAATCCTCGTTGAGCAGATTACAATGAGATATGCGGCATCTAACTTTTTTCGTGTTCCAAAATGTGGAATACTACGATTATCGTTGTACTCCGGTACAATAACACAAAATACTCTCTTAATGTTTGTGTATCGCAACACAAGCGCTAAAATATTTTAGTGTTTGTGTTCCTAGAAATGTACATATTTATATGAATTCTACCAAAATACGTCGAATTTTACCAAAATACCACAAAGAACACAAGTGTTTAGGAATTATCTTGGATAACAAGTTAAATTTTGGATCCCATATTGACAGCATACATCTTATATCTACCTTTGCATGTTAGGGCGAAAATTGTCTGTTCACTGATGATGCCACATGTGTTATATGTATTGGAAGTTATATCTGGAACTTCGGAATATAGTTTTCATAAGTTACGGCACATTATAAATATTAAATGAATTTTAAACTATCAGGTTTTTAATAATGAATTTAATACAGTAAATAGACCCAGGAGGCTTTTTTATTAGGAATAAAATAAATAAATGAAATGAAAATATTAAATTTTGAATGAGAATATAAAATATTTGACAAGTTTTTCAATGACTAAGATAAGGCTTATTCCAAGGTTTATTCATAAGGTTAACCGAATTCATGCCGTAGTCTTCTCTTGTTGCCAACTTTTTAATCGCGAAATACAAAGCATAACAGGATAAAAATTCCAAAAACGAATATTTTGTTTCGAACACAAATATTTTTTATTTATTCTTCAAACAATAAATTTGACAGTCAATGAAGACTTTGAATTCGCCTCCTTGTTAACCTTATGAATAAACCTTTGTTTATTCCAAGGCCTGTATAACAGCCTTACCTAAAATTCAACTATCTCGTTCGACGTTTTTCACCACAAAAGCTGTGTTCCCAAACCTGCAATATAGTACTATATTGTACTAGTTTTGCAATTTTTGCTAGAAAAGCGTTTCCTTACATCAAAAAGTAGGAAAAAATGAAGTTAAATTTAAGAGAGTTAAAACCAAAATGGCGTTCTCTTCTCCTATTTTCTGCAAGACCAATTTGGCCTAGCACGAAAAAGTAAATGTAGTAAGTTATGAATTTGACATTTGATTGCCAGAGATATACAGTCCGAAATAAAGCATATGAAAGTTAGCGCTTCAACAAAAAGGACACAAAAAAACAAATAAGAAATTTAAAAATGGACACACAGATTTTTTATTCTCTTTTGAAGGGTAGCGAAGATGAATGGCTGGCAGAAGATTCAGATGAAGATACTATAGAATGAAGACTTGGGTTGGGTTGGTTAATCGTACTTACCAATGTGGTCGAAAATATCTTGGGATTAAGTCAAGTTTTGGGGGGCTCCACTTGGATCGCTTTTACATTTTTACAGAAAGTAGTCCTCGGTGAACTGATTACAGAGATATATATTTTATAGTGAGAAATGCATACTTCCCGCGATATGGGCCTTGAAAGTTCGGAGAGTATGTTGTTTTAATCAGCCGTATTATTTTAAAGGTTATGGTTTGTGCTATGTAACTAGATGAAGAATATATTACATAACCATGTATGCGCCTGTCCATATGTGAAAGTCTTATTCTTAAGTTCTCTTAAAAAGTACCCGATATAACCTTTTAATGATACCCATATTGCCTTGGTGGCAATAGAAAAAGTGTTGTATTAAAGAAAATATGTTCCGAAATATCAAGGCCAATATCTCGGGAAGTATGCACAAGAAGGGCTACTTACGGTAATCATTCCAAAATGATCCGAGTGGAGCCCCTGAACTTGACTTGTTCCATATCTTGTTGTTCAAGTTTGCTAAAACATTCCAATCAAAATATCTACCAATTTCAATAGCATTAACATTATGAGAGCGTCCAGCCATGTAAGCCTTTCCGGATATTCGATAATGTTTTCCTCTAAATTATACAAATAAAAAATAAACAATAAATATTTATATTATCAAAATCACGCAATGGACGCCGTTTAATTTTTTTTTGTGCATTAGGTTTCTGTCCTTAACAAATTAAATTTTTGATTTTGGCGTTTCTTTGTGTTTTAACTATTTTTCGTTCCTTTACTCTTTGCGCAAATCTTGTATGTGAGAGTAATTTTTGATAGAGAGTAAGAACGGGAACGAACCTAAATGTAGAACACATGTATTTAGTCCCAATTTAGATTAGGCGAATTTACTTGTGGCAAGATATTGACTGTAGGAGAGAGGGGCAAGGGGAATAGAAATGGAAAAAAATTGCTCGTACCGACAATTTTCTGGCAATTCGTTTTGTGTATTTCGTATTTCTTGACATTTTATATTTATTTAAATGTGAAAAAAATTATTGACATCAAATGAAAAAAGAAATATTTTTGAAACCGAATTGCCTTGTATAGACGCATGAAACAAGTTCAAAAGGGAACGATAATAATTGCCGCAAGTAAACTCGCCTAATATAAATCAGGACTTATATGAATGTTACCGAAATACGTCGAACGTACAAAATTTCAAGTTGTACAATTTCAACTTTGACAGAGCGTATTTTTCATTTTTTTCTTTTGTTGAAAACAAAAACAAAACATTCTGGAAATTTGAAATTTCGAATGGAAACTAAAAATATGTGTATTAATTTAATAAATTTTCAATTTTTTTTGCGGTTTGTATTATTTGCTTGAAGATATGGACTCGACGTATTTGGGTAATACGGCCGTACACAACATTTTACCATAGTGGGGAAGTTGAATATTTTTGTACGCCCCGTCGGATTTTAGGTAACGTTGTAAGGTCGGCCAGTAAGCACAGGTGAGTATAAAGTTTGATTCCAAATCATATTTTGAAACCTATACATACACAAGGCCTATATAAGGTCAATTTTTTTTGCGGAGGCGAAAACTAATTGTTTCGCCTTTAAATAAAAATCACGGCAAAAAATTGACGTTAAACTTAAGTTTTCTCTATGAATTCGCTTACTGGCCGACCTTATATAGGCCTTGGTTTATTTCATTAAATTATTTTGTGGGGAAGTTTGGACAGTGTTTAAAACAAAAAGATAATTTTTCAGCTTTTGAAAATAGGATTTTTTTTATTTAAAAAAATATGTTTCTGTAAGAGTGTCATAAAAGTTTTAAATTAAAGAGTAATTTTCAAAGCATCTATAAACGCTAAATACAAAACAAGAAAATATATATAAAACGTGGACAATGTTGGCGGTGGTGTGAGTTTTCTATTTAATATATGTATAATATTCATTAATACATTTGTGTAGTGATCTAACATTTTGACTATCAGCCTTATTCTGGATATTCGATGGGAGATATCTCGCATGTACAAAAATTTTCGCTTTCACATTCTCGCCTTATTCTGAATGAATAGGGAGACGCAAAAAATGCGAGATGCGGATTCGAGTTTTCGAAAATGGTGGTTGAAAAAAAGATTCGTGTTGCAATATTATAATTTAAGTTGTAATGTATGTTGCCATATTGTAATTTAAGTTGCAATGTATGTTGTCCCATTGTAATTTAATTGTGTAATATTTTTCAAAATTTTATTTATTGATTATTCTATTAAAAATTGTTACTTGTTATTGTTGTTGTTGTTTAAACTTTATAACAACACAAATGTGAAATATCAAGAATTAGCTGTATAAATGCTTTGTAATTAAAAGAAAATTAATTGAAGTTTGAAAATATGGCAACCTACAATATGACATGTGAAACAGCTGTTCATTGTTTTGATGCATTTTGGTACAACAACTACATACAATAGATTACAAATAAAAGAACATTTTTTTATGATGGCAAAAACACAGGCACATAATTGTGTGCCTTTTTATTTAATTTCGATATTTTATCTCTCCAAATTCTTAAAGTGGCCTGTTATGCTCCTACTCCTTTATTTCTTCCTTCAAATAATGCTAAGTGTGGTTTTATATTTGTCGGGATCGGGATCGGTTTTGAGAGTTTCTCTCTCTTGAGAGAGTAATTAGAGTTGCGCTATTTTTAATTTTGTAACAAGCGTACTTTTTGTTCACAAAATGTACGAATTGACGTAAACGTGAATACATTTACGCTTAAATTATAACATATAAAAGAAAGTCTCAATAAAAATACTTACTTACTTACTTATAACATATATTATTTATGCAAATAACTGGTATAAATATTGGCCAATATTTCTCGATAATTATCATTTGAAGTAGAATTTTAGGTACCTTTTCGTACATTTTTGTTCCTACCTTTGGTAATGTTTTCCAACACAATTCACAATTTACCACTGAGAGAGAGAGAAACTCTCAACACCGATCCCGATCCCGACAAATATAAAACCACACCAACGATAATTTTGAAAAAAATATTTTTTGTAGTTTTTTTGTGTTGTTTCATAATCTTTATCTAAGTTTTCCACTGTTAAGCGGCTCATTAGGCAAATTTGGTTTTTCTATATTTTTTTTCTTGACAGACAGATCCTCACCCAAAATGTCTGTTTTTCGACTCCAAAATGCATCAAACTCGACTTAAATATTCATTATTACCTTTAGACATTCCTTGGCAATATTTGGTTCAGCATGCATCATTATCAATAGGATTTCCAAAGGCATTTTATTTGCTGTTTTCCAGATAAATATTTGCTAACTATCATTTATAATATTCTAAATCGTCATAGAATAAGTATTGTGTTAATATTTTTCATAAAAATATTTATTACTTATGTTTTTGTAGTCAACTCACTTTAAATTTATTAGCGAAAAATTTCGCACAAAATTTCATCTCAT